ATTTAGTAATCGTTCTGTAAACTCGTCAGGAGGTTTCAGCAATTGATTGCAGATTTTCTCATTTTCGTTATTTTTATATTAAGTTAAAAATTAAATTGTGTGCTACTTATTGGTGAGAGATTAATTTCCTCAATCGTCTTCAATGTAACATATATATATATGGAAAAGGTTTGTAACTTAGCAGATTAATGTTACCTTCAGCATCCTTTCTCCAGATTTTCATAGACGGACCTATCTTCCTATTGGTCAGCGGTTATCAGCTATTGACTGCTTATACTTCTCGATTTTTCTTTACACACGCATGCACAAACAGAAAAAAATCAATCTCACAATAAAATTTTTTATCCATTTCTTTTTATTAAAATTTTCTTGCATTCATACATGTATTTTCTTTTCTGGGCTCTAGTGCAGAAAAAATGTCATGATATATGGATCCAAGCGCTTACGACTAATCTATTAGATATTATCAAGGATTTTTTTTTAAAATTGCGTCGTTCACCGTGGCCGAGCGGTGAAGCATACTGAATCGAACAGTGCTTTCCCCTATAAATGAGGAAGAAAGTTTGACGCCGGTAAATACCAGCTGAGGAGTGCATTTTCCTTTAATAACATTTCTTGAGTGTGCACACCGATAGACGTAGTATAAAGTTTAATGAATTGAAATGGCTCCTCTATTTCAAAAATGGATTATACACTATAATAACACACATACACACAAATATATATATATATATTGTGTATTTAAGCAGCAATCCTTCTTTCATGCAAGTTTCATTAAATATGACAGACAAGACGCTTTGATTAAGATTTTTTAAAATAATTTTTCATGTGATTATATATTTTTTCTCTTCAGTAGGAAAATTATATAAAAACTGTCCAACTGTTATTTTTCACTGAACGCTTTCGGCTATATATTTAGCCATTTTCAAGGTTGAAATATATTAACTGTTAACGAGAAACTGATTGTTGTATGTATGTATTTATATAATGTTTCATTTTCAAAACACGGTCAAGATATTGTGACCATGTTCATAGTTGATATTATTGAGTGTTGTTTTTTGTTTTTATTAATAAGGCTTCCATTATGTTTTAACCTTTTTTTTTTACATGTAAACGATGCTATTATATTTGTGTTATCAGCACGTATGTTACGAATAGGATCCAGTCAGTCTTCATGAGTATTTAAATGAGACCTAATTGAGCTATGGTTAGAAAGATGCAGTGTGAGTCTTGTCAAACATGTTGTAGTATGGCCTATATAATTGTTTACTAATTTTGATTTATCAGGAATAGAGTTCCTTAATGGAAATTATTATATAATTTATCTACTGAAAAGAAAAAAATTTAAAAACTCATATGAAAGCTTATCTAAAATCTTAATCAAAGAATCTTGTCTGTCATATTTAATGAAACTTGCATAGATAGATAGATATAACCTCCATTTTTTCCTTTCTTCTCTTCTTCCTGTTTTCTACTTACTCCTCCTCTTCCTCTTCTACCTCTTTCTCTTCTTTTTTTCAAATATATATATATATATATATATATATATATATATATATATATATATATGTGTGTGTGTGTGTGTGTGTATTTGAAAACAAACTGACAAGTTTGTTGCAAGTGGTGAAAAAAGAAATGGAAGACGAGAAAAGAGTAAGTAGACAAGGAAGAGGGAAAAGAGGAAGAAAAAAAAGAAAGAAAGAAATGAAGGTTCGCTTATCGTCTGATTGATACTCCTTCCTTGTTTTTTTAACTAGTGTAGAGGTTTTTCCCTATTTCCTATTTAAGTTTGGGTATCGGTTCCGTCTAATGCCTGTTTTAGTTTGTGTCATTGTGTTTCAAGGAGATAACATGTTTGATTTTAGTTCAAAATGTTTAAATCTTGGAAATTTTTTATAAATGGTATCCATACGACAAACTCATATTTGACAGTAATCAAAACAAGGAAAAGAATGTTGATTTTGTGTCATTGTGTTTCAAGTAGATTTGATTTTAGTTCAGAATTTTTAAATCTTAGAAATTTTTTAAAACAGCGATTTTCATTTTCTAGATGTTATAACTTCTAAATAGTTTCATAAACTGAAATGATAACAATATGACAAACTCATATTTATTTTGATTGTTTTATTGTTATAATGCTGGTTATAAAAAGTGTTTTTTCTATGGGTTGTATTGAAATTTGTGCTGATTTGGTTTGCCATAAATAGTAAAAAATAGTGTTATTTCTTCAAGAATATTTTTATTGACAAACAAAAGATAGCTATTCTAGTTTATTTAAAGAATTTGCAATAAGTTTATCTCACGTTATGTAAATGTCGCTAAAATATATCACTATTAAAAAATATTCAAGACAGGTGCGGGTGAGTCAGATGGTTGATCTGTCAGAGTTCGAGACCCCAAAGCTCATAATTCGATCCTGGATAGAGTGCATGCATATGTGTCAGATCTGTTCATTTTGAAATTTAGCATAGATGACATTTATTCTATACATTTGAAGTATCCGAATTAAATTTTGACCAATTCTGGGAATTTACCCACCATTTGTTTTTTAAAGATTGTCACAAGAATTACTTACATTGGTCATCTTGTCTCCTTTCACTTCTCTGACGATGTCAATAGAAGATTCACTCCATTCAGTACAAGTTTCTTTCACTTTGGTATCACTTATTATTTCAGTCACCATCTAAAAGAAAATTTTAAAAAGTCGTCTGTCTTAGCAAAAATCTTTTTATTACAAAATAACACACCTTCCCGGTGCTGGGTGGACAGGGACATCGGCTACTTTTTCGTAGAATTGAAAACAAAACAGAAGACACAATTTGCCTTCAATCAATGACAATGCTATTTATTAAACTGAGCGATATCATTCGTCTAAAATTATTACTGCTATTAATTTGAAAAATAAACCATAAAACTTTATTTTTTTTCTTGTTTCATAAGCACCAGCCAAGGAAACTTTTATATGAATCTTATATGTGTAAAAAGTCGATGTCTCGTTCCAGAAAGAAAGTACAAACGAAAAACAACAACAAAAAAAAAAGGTTATTTAAAATCAAACAAAAATTATATACAGGGTGCGATGGATAAATTGTCGTCTAAACTACACAAAAAAATTAAAATAACACCGACATCTCATTAACAGATACCTTTACCAAAATTACACAAAAAATATCTTCAAATACTAAAGAATAAATTTATTCAATAAAATTGCCATTGGTTTCAACCACGACCTCCAGACAACTTCGGAATCTCCTGCAACACTTCTGGGTGGTCTCTTTGTTTAATTTGGTGAATGATCTTATAATCCTTGCCTTCAGATCATCTTTGGTGTTACAAGGAGTTGTGTTTGTCTTTCGCTCAAATGCACATCACATATAATAATCAAAATGGTTGCAGTCTAAGAAGTTATGTGGTCATGTGTAAGGAGTAATGTGGTCGCAGAAATTGTCTGACAGCTATGACTGTGTTCTCCTGCTTGTGTGGCATGGTACAGAGTCCTGTTGTCAGACATAGGGTCTTCCAGCAGCCACTCCCTTGACCCAGGACAACACTACCTCCTCAAGGCCTCCGTGTTGGGTCTGAGAATTTGTTGGAAGATGAATGGAGGCATAACGTCGCCATCACTAGCGATCCCTCCAACCACATTTGTAATCAACATTAGACTCATCCAGCATTTTCCGAATCCTCTGCACTGTCGTGGGTTGACACCCAAACACTCCGAAATGTTCGTATTGAAGTGAATACCAAACAGTACAGCATGCCGTTTCTAAATTTCTGGCAGTGTGAATTGTGTTATGGTGATCTTTTTTCTCACAGACATTGCCCAAGTGACCCTACTATAGTGTGCAGAGGACAAAATCAAAGGTGTCATGTCTAATGGATGTCAGTTATCAGTTATCTCCTGTTAATTCCCCTTTCCAAGTTCTCCACTGCTTTAACCGGGTATTGAACTCACACTCTTTGGATCCTGATTCTGGGTCTAACTAACGCCTTTATAGATTGTGTCATGTGTCCTTGAGTGTACATGGCACAGTGGATAAAGGCTAATAATTAACAGGAGATACTGATAACTTACACCCATTAAACATAGCACCTGGAACTAGAACAGTCTACCCCAGTGAGCGAAATAAAGGGTTCAGTTCAACATTCCAACCACCTGAAGAAGCGTACAACGGCCGAAAAATTGTAATAAATATGGCGACAAAGATGAGGACAATAGTCCGAATAATGTAAATAATGAAGAAAATTAATGGTAATATTTTTAAACTAATGATGATAATCGTTCTCGTATCTTTCCAAAAAGTTAAATCTATTTAAATTCTAAGAACAAAAGGACGAAAATTGAGAAACTTACTTTAAATTGCCGTCCAAAAAGATCCGTCGATTCATAAGGTTCACCCGGTATGAATTCATAACTTTTGCTTTTAATTGGTTCTGTGGTTGTCGTCACCGTCATGTGCCATTTTTCACCCTCTTGCTTGATCTCCCAAATGATTCGAACTTTGAAGCTTTCTTCTGCCAAATCCTCGGGGATTCCTTGAAAAAAAATATAAAATAAATGACGTAAGGTAGAAAATGGCGACTAAACTCATTGGTAAAAAAAAAAAAAAAAAAACCTCACACATTTCATACTGCTAATGTGTGAAAAAATATAAAATGAAATAATTACCGTATATATTCAAATACAGCGCGAGTTTTTCTTATCAGTATTTTTTTACGCAAAAAGGGTAATATTTTTGAAGAGATTAAAAATCGTGCATTTTCGGTCACAAGTTGCACAAAACACAGGTAAATTTTGCCTGGCAGGATTAAAATTCATGCAAAAAATCCAGGTGTCGCACTATATATGATGTCGGCTTATACACAAGAATATGCTCTCAGACGAGATTTGTATTATAGACAGTAAACATACAAATGTGTTTAATTCCTGGGCTGTCATAAATATCAAAGTCTTGTAGCACGCTTTAAGAATTCTCTTCTTTCAGCCTTGACAACAGAACTTACGGCCATATCACGTTGAAACACCAGTTCTCGTATGATCACCGAAGTTAAGACAACATCAAGCCTGTCCAGTATTTAGATGAGTGACCCGTTGGGAATATCAAGTGTTGGAAGCTTACTCATGGAGTGAAGAACGCTGAGTCAGTGCGTGATCGCTTGAACTCAGGGGAGGTATAGTTGTGGAGAGATTTTACGAAACAGGTAGTAAAAACTATTAGTGCTAACCTTGACATTTCAAACTATCTATTGTATATATTTTAAAACATTTGTGCGTTATTGGTAATATACTTTATTAATGTTTTGTTTCAATTTTTTTAATGTAGATAGCGTTGAGAATTTTGAATTTATGTTCATTTTTTCATAAAAAAAGGATAGAAGTATTTTGACAAGAATTTTTCTGAATTGCGAATGTGGACAGGTATGGACATATCATTCAAATGAAAACCCAGCTACCGAAACAACGTTGTTGTAGTGTGTTCAACATAATTTTTTTTTTTTTTTTACTGATGGAGATACAAACTGCCAGAGGACATTTAAATATATAGACGAAGTTGGTTTTCTGCAACATGTTAGTAGGTGAGGAAGAGTCATTACGAATGATTGTATTAGATATACTAGATATAGTGTAGTATATAATTCATTTTATTTTTTTATTAGGATCTATGGTGGATATATTAGTATTTATTTTTTTAAAGATATTTTCGTCTTTGTTTATAATATGAATATATTCGGTTGTATATATACAAGAGAGAGAGAGAGTGAAAGAGAGAGAGAGTGAAAGAGAGAGTGAAAAGAGAGAGAGTGAAAGAGAGAGAGTGAAAGAGAGAGAGAGAAAGAGAGAGAGAGAGAGAAAGAGAGAGAGAGAAAGAGAAAGAGAGAGAGAGAAAGAGAGAGAGAGAGAGAGAAAGAGAAAGAGAGAGATTAATGTAATTCCCCATTTCTCAAATAAAATGTACACCGGGATCAAAACTGTGAATCAATTCATATTTTGTTTTGTTTTTGTCCTGTATTTGCAACCGTTTTTGTCATTAGCAAGAACTGGGTGTTATCAGTGTGGCAAACAATATTCTATGTGGTATCCCCCTCCATCCAGAATATATTTCAGCTTTAAACCGACTGTAAAACAAAATGGCCTACTAACTATTAGGCTTTCTACGGGTTTTTTTTTACTGAAAATTAAAGGAACAAATTATTTTTCCTGTGTGTCCCTTTATTCATGAAATCATAATGTATAAATGACATCATGCCGAGCATAAACTTTAAAAAATTAACTTTTTTTATTAGACAAACAGAATAATTGCAGAGAAACAAGAAGACATAAAAACGACTAAAACTAAGTGGCTAAAGAGGAATAAAAAAAAAACACGAGAAAATCATTAAAAGAAAACTACATTAACCGCATAAAATAATGATTCCCAACGTCGGGTGTATGCCCCATCGGTACGGAATGGTAATATTTTGGTGGGGAGGCATGCGTAGGCTGTGCACCCTTCGGCTTACTATACCAACAGAATAAGGGGGCAATTCGAGAATGAGTTATTAGCATTAATTTGTTACAATTTCCATCTTCATATTTAGCTGAATGTTGCTTTAGTGCTGTAAATGATTTATTAGCGAAGAAAAGAAATCGACTGGATATCACTAAACGAGGAGACTTGAGGCTTAAGCTGACTAAATTGGTGCCTAATATAAATTCTATCTGTAGCAGACATGACGCACAAGGATCTCACTAACAATCATTTTGTGATGAGCTCAAATTTCATTTTGCATTATTATTTCATGATTAAAATAATCAAAGTATATTACAGAATAAACTTTCATTCAAATATTTTATATTTCTGATTTTCAGTTCTCTATTATGATTTGAAACTATATATATTTAACGGTCTTTTTGTTTTCTTTTAATTTTTCTCTTTCATGGACGCCATTGTCTTTGGAGGCTTGTTTAGAGACCAAGTTAATGGCCTTTTAAGCTTCCTTCACGTGAATTGCAGTAAAATTTTGAATATGTAAGATTTAAATATTACAGGAGGGAGGGCACCAGAATTTTAGAAATACCATGGCCCAAAATCGGTTGGGAACCACTGGCATGAAAGGTTTTCAATCATCTAGTTTATACATTTCAAATGAGAACGACAATCCAGGACATTAGTGGGATACAATACTAACAGTGAGATTAGCGTCTATTTGATTGTCTTCGATTATTTTATCATATTTAGATGTGTGGTTGGTGCAATGGACAGCGGATCGAAATACAAAAATCGGAGAGCCGAATTTGAATTCTGGTTGAATTCCCTTACATTCACTTTCGCATAAATACTGTAGGGAAATGTAGGAATCCACTTATCCGTCCGTCCAAAATAGAATAAATAGGGTAGAGAGAAGGCTCTTTAGTCCTGTTTGGCAGTCAGTCTAAGAAAAGAACAAATGAATTCAAACTGTATGTAGCCCTGGCGAAGCATGGAGTTAAATTTTCAAATTTTAAATTTGAGCACGCTCTACAATATTGCAAGAGTTTGTTGTTTAAAGTAAGGTAAACTATGGAAAATACTAAGTTCTATAATTAAGTGCCAATTGATATTTTTTCTCCGTATTTTCCATCTGTTTTTCTTGTATATAAGTACATATTGGGAAATAAAAACTCCGCTTTTACCCTGATAAAGTTCCTCAAGGGACAAAACAATGATTGTAAAGAAATGTTTTCCTTTAGTTATTTTTATTTGTAATGTCTTTACAGACATATTTTTTATATGTGAATTTTTACACGCACAGACACACATATATATACACGCACACATACATACATATATATATATATATGTATACACATATATACACACATGTGCATGTAACATTATATATATATATAAATATGTGTGGGTGTGCATTTATGCAGCAAATTCTCTTTTAGGCATATCTGATTAAATTGTCTGTGTCTGCTTATTTTGATCATGATCCTTTCATATTCACATATATATATATATATATATATATATATATATATATATATATATATATATATATATAAAAAAGGCTTAAATACTAATATTCCATGGTCATAATTTATTCCATTTGAATCGTAAATACGATCCAATTCATCAGACCTACAAATTCAAAAAGAAAACAGAAAAAAAAACAACTCCGGAAATAAAAATAGAATTTAGAGAGAGTGTAAGTATGAGAATGTGGGACGAATGTTAGAGCTAAAGAGAGGGGTAACAGATGAAGAAGGTGGGAAATTAAACCTTAACAGAGAGAAGTTTTATAAAGGTGAGTGGAAGAGGAAAATATGAATGTTGTCGGATGTCTAATACATTAAAGATACATTTCGTGGTTACATACACACCCCTCTCTAACTTTTTATTATATCCTTACTCTGTCCTGGACATTGAGTTCTATCTGGATTCTATCCTCTTGTAATTTTTTATTCAAAAAATATCCATGTATGTGTATGTTATATTATATATATATATATATATATATATATATATATATATATATATATATATATATGAGCATCGATTCAATTTTGTATCTAAGCGAAACGGTGAAAATGTGGAAACGCTGAAATTTAAAATTAAATGAAATTTATCTTTTTTTTACCAGAATTGTCTGGACGCATAATCTCTGATGTCATTCGATTTCCCTACATTTCTTTTTTTTTTGTTTTTTAATTTCCCACATTGAAAAATACCCCCCTCTCTCTCTATATAATATATATATATATATATATATATATATATATAGATATCTCATTTGATTCTAATAAAAGAAAAATATTCGTGAATATGAAAGGATTATGCTAAAATAAGCAGCCATAATGTTTGTAATTTATTTAATCAGACATGTCTCTCTCATATATATATATATATATATATATATATATATATATATATATTGTTTTTAGGCAGTAAATTCTCTTTTAGGTATGTCTGATTAAATAAATTACAACCATTATGTCTGTTTCTTTCCTTGCATATTCATGAATATTTTTTGTGTATTAGAATCAAATGATGTTACAGTGCATTTCTTGCATCATTTAGTTGTAATACACGGAAAAATATCCGTGAATATGAAAGATTATACTAAAATAAACAGACATAAATGTTTGTAATTTATTTAACCAGACATATATATATATATATATAAGTTTCAAATTAAAAATTATGTTTTTATTTATGCAAGAAATTTATTTTATTTATATATATATATATATATATATATATATATATATATATACTTTCATAAATAAAACATTATAATTTTAATTTGAAACTTTTCTATATATACTTATTAAGAAAGTATACGTGGCTTCTCATTATATATATATATATATATATATATATATATATATATATATACACTTAATAGGTGTGCCATGCCTATCCTCTATCGGCACCTAGGTTTTTTATCTAAGTGAAAAGCACGATTTCCAATGTGGATTTAGAAGCTAGGCAAGCAGAACCTTCCCAACTAATCTAGTTTCTTTCTCAATTGGCCTTGTCTCGCACTAAATTACAGAAAGACAGATCTGTACAAGTAGCTTACCTAAAAGTAAAAAAAAAAAAAAAAAGTGTTAAAATGTTCTTTATCGTTAAGAGCAAAAATTTTAATCTCGACTAATACAATAGCTTTTGTATAAAGGCCATATATATCATGATTTGATGTCAGGTTTTGCAAGCATTCATACAATTCAAGAGCAAGGAGACAAAAGATGGACTTCTTTTATCACACTTGTCTAACATTTGAGACACGACAGAGAAAATCTTTTTGCAATAAAAAAAAAACTTAATTCTTTAGAAAACCTTTAGATAAGTAACAAGAGGCTGACCAGAGGAGGTAGTATTATTATACAGATACATGAACAAAATCTGGCCTCTTGACCCTATTCTCAACTGTCTAATTAAATCCAATGTTAGGTCCTCAATAACATTACAATCTTAACCAATTCAAATCTAGGATTAACCGTTATTTCCACATATCCTCATAAACAGTGCCACTTTCTCTGTTACCCTCTACCTCGAGTGGCTCTTGGGATTTGTACAGGATGAACATTAGTATAAAAATATTATCTTCAGAGCATTCAGTAAGAGATTAACATTTTTTGTACATGA